TAAAAACTCCACCAAAAAACTGATTTCATATATGGTTTCAGCAAAGTAACAGGGTACAAAATTAACACCCAGAAATAGATGGCATTTTTATACACCAATAATGAACTCTCAGAAAGAGAAACTAAAAAAACAATCCTTTAACCATTGGAACAAAAAAATAAGATACCTCGGAATAAACTTAACTAAGGAGGTAAAAGACTTGTACTCAGAACTATAGAACACTGAAAAAGGAAATAGAGGAAGACACAAACAAGTGGAAAAATATACCACGTTCAGGGATTGGAAGAATTAATATCATTAAAATGTCCATACTACCCAGAGCAATCTACAGATTCAACACAATCCCTATTAAAATACCAACGGCACATTTCACAGATCTGGAACAAATATTCCAAAAATTTATATAGAACCAAAAAAGACCCCGAACAGTCTCAGCAATCTTGAGAAAGAAGAACAAAGTTGGAGGGATAACAATACTGGATATCAAACAATATTACAAAGCCACTGTAATAAAAATAGCCTGGTACTGGCAAAAGAACTGGCATATAGACCAATGGAACAGGACAGACACCAGAAATTGACGCAAATATGGTCAATTAATATTTCACAACAGAGTCAAGAGCATACAATGGAGTAAAGATAGTTTCTTCAATAAATGGTGCTGGGAAAACTGGGGAGATACATTCAAAAAAATGAAACTAGACCACCAACTTACATCATACACAAGAATAAACTCTAAATGGATAAAAGGCTTAAAGTCACGAAACCATAAAAATCCTGGAAGAAAACATAGGCAATAAAATCTCAGACATTTCAAGTAGCAGTATTTTCACTGATATTATCTCCTAGGCCAAGAGAAACAACAGAAAAAATAAACGCAACTACATCAAAATAAAAAGCTTATGCCACCAACAAAATTACAAGGAACCCCATGGTCTGGGAGAACATATTTGCCAATGACATATCTGATAAGGGGTTAATGTCCAAAACATACAAAGAACTCATACAACACACCACCAGGAAGACAAACAACCCAGTTTAAAAGTGGCCAAAGGACCTGAATAGACACTTCTCCAAAGAGGACACACAGATGGCCAAGAGACATATGAGAAAATGCTCAATGTCTCTAACCATCAGAGATGCAAATTAAAGCCACAATGAGGTATCACCTCAAACCTGTCAGAATGGCTCCATCAACAAATCAACAAACGACATGTGCTGGCAAGGATGCGGAGAAAGGGGAACCCTGGTACACTGCTGGTGGGAATGCAGACTGGTGCAGTCACTGTGGAAAACAGTATGGAAGTTCCTCAAAAAATTAAGAATGGAACTGCCTTTTAACCCAGTGATCCCACTTCTAGGCATATATCCTAAGAATCCCGAAACACCAATTAGAAAGAATATATGCACCCCTATGTTCATAGCAGCATTATTTACAATAGCTAAGATCTGGAAACAGCCCAAGTGCCCATCAGTAGATGAGTGGATAAAAAACTGTAGGACAATTTACCCCATGGAATACTATGCAGTTGTAAAGAAGAAGGATCCCTTACCCTTTGTGACAGCATGCTTGGACCTGGAGAATATTATGCTAAACGAAATAAACCAGTCAGACAGGGACAAATATCATATAATCTCACTTATATGTGGAATCTAATGAACAAAGTAAACTGATGAATAAAATAGGTCCAGAGCCATGGACACATAGAACAGACTGACAGCTCAGAGGGGAGGCAGGAGGAGGGGAAGAGATTAACCAAAGAACTTATATGCAAATATGCACAGCCCATGGACAAAGACAACCGTGTGGGGAAGGCCTGGGGCGGGGCAGGGGCTGGGTGGAGGGGGCCAGAGTGAGGTGAATGGGGACATCTGTAATACAACAATACATTAAAAAGAGTTTTTTAATGAGAAGTTAAAACAGGAACTGGAGGAAAATATTTACCATTTTTCTGATGAAGAACTTACAGGAGGAATATATAAGCAACTGTGATGACTCAATAAGAAGACAAAAAATCCAATTTAAAAATAGATGAAAGACTTGAATGGACATCATAGAAGACCTACCAGTGGGTAAAACACACATAAAAAACACCCAACATCTATCATTAGTCATTAGGGAAATATAAATCAAAAACCACAATGAGAGTCTCTCTAGGATGTCTATAATCAAAAAGACAGTTAAGAACTGTTGGCAACAATGTGGAGAAACTGGAACCCTTATACATTGCTAGTGAGAATATAAAATGATACAGCCACTTTGGGAAATAACTTGGCAGTGTTTTCAAAGGTTAAACATAAGCTGACCATATAAGTCAGCAATTCTACTTCTAGAAACCTATCCAAGAAGAGTGAAAACTTATGTCCACACAAGTCTGCTTGTACGGGCAAGTTCTTTATTCATACTAACCCAAACCTGGCAATAATCCAACTACCATCCACAGGTGAATACACAAAATGTGACACATCCATCCAATGGGACACTATTCAGCATTTAAAAGGAACAGAATATGAACAGACACGTGCTACAATACGGATGAACCTCAAAACATCATGAAAGAAGCAGACACAAAAACTGCATATGAACCCATTTATGAAATGTCCAGAAGGGCAAATTCATAACCACAGCAAGCACATCAGCAGCTGTCTGGTGTTGCCATGGGAGAGCTCACTGACTTCACAAGGGCTTGAGGGAAACTTTTGGGGTGATGGAAAATGTTCTAAAACCAGGCTGTTATTGTATAACTATATACTAAAAATTGTGACCTGTACATTCACAATGAATGGATTGTATGGTATATATATGGTAAGTTATATATAGCTGAAAAAACCTTGAATTTATTGCTACACTACCACAGATGTGTCAGAGATGCCGCAGCAAGGGAGAAAAGGGGAACCAATTCTGTGTAACTTGGGGGGGGGGAGAGGGACAGCAAGGCAGAAAGGTTAGCACAGATTTATTTCAACAAATATTTATTGCCTACTCTGTTCTAGGTGCCTCATATTTAAATTAATATTAAAAGATGGGGTGGGCCCTCGCCGATTTGGGTCGGTGGTTAGAGCATCGGCCTGAGGACTAAAGGGTCCCGGGTTTGATTCTGGCCAAGAGCACGTACCTAGGTTGCAGGCTCCAGGCCCCGGGTACAGATGCAGAAGGCAACTGATCCATGTGTGTGTCTCTCTCTCCCTTCCACTCTCTCTGAAAAGCCATGGAAAAGATATCCTCGGGGAGGATTAAAAAAGAAAAGATGGGTGGTTCAGGGTGGAGAGGAGGGGAGGACACTGCAGGCGCAGCACCCTGTATGTGCCACAGCAGAGCTGGGGACATCGTTCCACTGTGTTCAGGGAACCCTACTGCTGGGGGTGCACAGAAAAATGACCAGGGATGGCAATGAAAGATCAAAGAAAAAATCACAAGTGACACTGTTTCATTTTTATTCTGCGCACACAGGTATTTTCATTGGCACAGACGAAACTGAGATTAAGGCATTTGCATTCCCAAAATCACCAGAGTAACATTATCTACTGAATGTGGTGGTTATGGGACTAGCAGTGCCTGGCATGTAATAAGTGCTCTAAAAACATTTGCCATTATTTCTATTATTATTACGGGGTCACAGGGTCTGTTTATTAAATTTTACAGGCTACCCAAAAAGCTATACAAAATTTATCAAGAAGAGATCTAAAAACGATTTGACGGAACAATACATGGCGTATGTTTCTCACCCTCACAGATGGACTCAGAGACTGCAGCTCTCTCTTTTCCAGAAATACCTTTATAGCCCTCCCTTAAATTGTCTAAAGCTCTCTTCCTTAGGACACCAGTTCCCACAGTGCATGCTATCAACAACAGAGTTACTGGGAAGGTTAAACAAGCTGACTCAGGAGGCCTAACCTGCCCAAACTGTGAACACCTCAGGGGTCTCAGGACTGGCTTTCAACTGGCTCCCGAGAGAAAACCTGAGCCCTTGGAATATCCTGTGGAGAAGAGGATTTTATACGCTAGAGGCTTTGGGCAATACCCCAGACCACGTACGCTAACAATGTCACTTATGGTGCATGCTTGTTTTCAAATGCCTGAGGTCCTCAGTGTGACCTCTGTGGGGCTGGAGACTGAGTTGCTAAGGTCAGCCTCATGGGCATTGCACATCCATGCGACTCACCCCAACAAACACCCTGGACACCAAGACTCAGGTGAGCTTCCCTGGTTCGAGACTCTGCATGTGCTGTCACACACTGTCACTAGGTGAATTAAGAGCATTCCCGTGCAACCCCACTAGAAAGGAACATTTGAAAGTTTGGGGCTGGTTTCTCTTTGCTCATTTTTAACTATATCCTTTCACTGTAATAAACCATAACAGTGAGGAGGGCAGCTTTTTGTAAGTTTTGTGAATATCTCTAGAGAATCACAGGGCCTAAGGGCGGTCTTGGGGACCCACAACTAATACGAAAGTGCTCACAACAGCACCTGGTGTCTAGTGAACATTATATAGGTAATTCTCATTACCAAGCACTAAGAAGACATTTAAAAGACTTAAGATAGCCCTGCTGGGCGTGGCTCAGTGGTTGAGCATCGAACTAGGATACAGGCAATCAGGGTTCGATTCCCAGTCGGGGCACATGCCCGGTTGCGGGCTTGATCAATGACTCTCTCATCATTGATGTTTCTATCTCTCTCTCTCCCTCTCCTTTCCTCTCTCTGAAATCAATAGAAATAAAAAAAAAATTAAATTAAAAAAAAAAAAGACTTAAGATAGCCACACAGCGCTATTATTTGTGCCAACCTCTGAACTCGGTTTTCACAGTAGGCTGGGCTGAGATGACTAAACAAGGGCATCTTTCATCTCGAGCCTGAGGCACACTGGGCTTTATGGCAACTCTTCAGTCAGTCTCTAGGGTATTCTGCTCTAGCCAGTGAACAATACTAAGAGAATGAATGTTTAATAATCAGTTTGGAAATGGCAAAATACACAACCGAGACCTCACAATATAATGCCTACCTTTATTTCCTTTATGTTTGGAAGTGATGCATTTAGAAATTCCTCAGTTAATCTCTTCCAGCTGGCAGCTTTACCGAGATCAGAATGAATGATGAATTTTTCATAAATTCTAAAATATATTTTAAAAATCAACTGATAATTATAGTTATATTAATAAAAAGATCTATAAAAATATGTACATTTTGAATATGTACATATATACATACATATAAAACTGACTTACCCTTCTATTGTCTTTTCTACTTTGTGACTGTTGACATCCAAGAAACGATGAAATCTAGAAGACAAAATGCAATTCTTCCATCAATCATGTCATCCAGCTCAGCAGACTGGTATCACTGCCCTCCATATCCCAGAACACCCTGTACTTAGCTATACTGAGTGCACCTCCCTCGCTGTATCACCTCTGCCATTCAGACGAACAGCCACTATGCCTCAGAGAAAAAGCCCTCAAGCAGCCTTTCGGCAGGACACCGGTCATCCTGATCAGCCCCCACCTGTGCCCTGGCTCCTTTGTCTTCCCATAATGCCCTGTATCTAAGCCCAGCATAGAACATCTTGTATTGTTCTTAATCTTTTTATGCCACAGTGAAGCCCAGTGAATATTTGGGACCCCCTCTCACAATGTTTTTTAAATCATAAAATGAAATACAAAGGAAACCAAGTATACTGAAATACAGTTGTGAAGTGTTTTTTTTTTAAATATATCTTTATTGATTTCAGAGAGAGGAAGGGAGAGAGAGAGATAGAAACAATGATGAGAGAGTCATTGATCAGCTGCCTCCTGCACACTCCCTAACGGGGATCGAGCCTGAAACCTGGGCACGTGCCCTGACTGGGAATCGAACCTGGATCTCCTGGATACTAGGTCGATGCTCAACTGCTGAGCCACACCCACCTGGGCGTGAAGTATTTTTAAAAGTTTGTGATTATAGTAAGAGACATTTCTTTGTTAAATCATTAAGTAATAAGATCTACCATTAAAGTGACATAAACAATATTTAGAAATATCCGCAACAACTATAATGTGAAACGTGTGATTTCCACTGGTGATACACTCACAGGTAAGCGAATATTGCTTGTTGTTTTGTTCATAATTGAAAGAAATGCTACTTTTCAGTTAGAGGTTAGTGTAAATTTTTTCTTGTCCAAATTCAAAATACCTGAATTCTATCTTTAGGCCCTCATGTTCAGAACTCCTATTCTCATCATACATAATTAACTTTTGTCTCTTTCTCCCCTAAGGAAAGAGACTATATTTCACTTATCTCTAAATTTCTAGAGCCTACAACATGGCCACAATTTTTAAAAAACAAACATAAATTGTTCATTTTTCTGATGAGTTAAAGCATCATAAAATTATAGTATAGCTCATTGACTCTTGTTTTCCATTTTTTAGTATCAAAGCCAACAATCGGAACTTAAAAGAAGTAAATTACAATACTAAATAACATTAATTCTATCCCCTAAGTGGCTGACTGAAACACTAACTTACCTATTATAATTTAGCTGCTCATTGTGTAAAAGGAGGTAGTAACTTCTAATGTCTTTCCCAACTCTAAAATGATGTCCATCTACTTACTGCCATTTAGAAATATTAATAGAAAAATTATTTGAAATTCACATTTAAGTTTCTGTCCTTAGTGTTATTTACAACTGCCAAGATATGGAAGCAACCCAAGTGCCCATTGATAGGTGATTGGAGAAAGAAGATGTGGTACATATATACAATGGAATATTACTCGGCCATAAAAAAAAGAATGAAATCTTGCCCTGGCTGGGTAACTCAGTTGGTTAGAGCTTCATCCTGAGGTTGTGGGTTCAATCTCCAATCAGAGCACATACAAAAAGCAACGAATGAATGCATAAATAAATGGGACAACAAATTAGTATTTCTCTCTAAAAAATCAATAAAATAAAAAAACACACAAAAGAATGAAATCTTACCACTTGTGACAACAGGGATGGGCCTAGAAGGTATTATGCAAAGTGAAAAAGTCAGAAAAAGACAAATACCATATGATTTCACTTGTATGTGGAACCTAGAGAGCAAAATAAATGAACAAACAAAATAGAAACAAACTCATAGACATAGAGAACAAACTGATGTTTGCCAGAGGAGAGGGGTTTGGGGGACTGGGTGAAAAAGGTGAAAGGGATTAAGCAGCACAAATCGGCAGTTATAAAACAGTCCAGGGATGTAAAGTACAGCACAGGAATATAGTCAGTAATGTTGCAATAACTATGTACGGTGCCAGGCGGGTACTAGACTTATGGGGACGTCACTTCTTAAATTATATTAAAAAAAATCTAACCACTATGCTATACACTTGAAACTAATAAAAATAATATTGAATGTCAACTGTAATTGAAAAATAAAAATGGGGGGTAGAAGGAGGTATAGGAGGAATAAATGGTAATGGAAGGAAATCTGACTTGGGATGGTGAATTACAGAATTGTGCAACTGAAACCTATATAATTTTATTAACCAATGTGACCCCAATAAATTCAATAAAGAAGAAAAAGAAAAAAATTCAATCTGTAGAAAAAAACATTGTGTTTTATACGACCTAGTCACACACTGTTATATTTATGTTACATTTAAGAACTCAGTTTATTATTTCAGAAACTTTGCATGCTTTTACCTCATTGTCTAGTCTCATTGTAAACCAGGTAGGAACTTCATGTATGATCATTAAGGTTGAAACTCAAGAACACTGATTTTGAAAAACTGATCCCTGTTCAAGAAGATTTCTACTGACATTAAACTGGCATAGTATTATAACACTAACTAACATTCTCTTAGTAATAAAATCCCATTACAGGTAATCATCAGAACGGTATTGTCTAATTTACATCTTCCACCAAGAAAAATAGGAGCTCTGACTTCATCAAGTATTTAAGGTAGATAAATCCTGGGCGGCCTGGTCACTACATGGCAGGAACTGTTCTCGTGGCTGAGACAAGTAAGGAACAAAACCGCACAGCCCTCCCGCCCGGCTGCGGCCGCGCCCGGGACCTGGCGCGG